GAAGCAGGCTCGGGAAGGGCTCACACAGGCCTGAGCATCTCCAAGGGAGTCGGATGTCAGGCGATCCCTTCTGAGCTGTCTTCTCCCCTTCCTGCCCCATCGCAGGACTCAGGGCTCTACCTGAAGGAACTGATCGAGCCGGTGCTGACCTGCTTCAACGACGCGGACAGCAGGCTGCGCTACTATGCCTGCGAGGCTCTCTACAACATCGTCAAGGTGGCCCGAGGCGCCGTGCTGCCCCACTTCAACGTGCTCTTTGACGGGCTGAGCAAGGTACTGCTTCTGCCGGCTGGGCCGAGCTCAGTCCATGCACCGCACTTGACCTCCTGGGACCTTGGGTGCCTGGGTCCCTTTCCCCACATGCAGGCAGAGCAGATACGCATGGCTGCAAGGGACACTTACTGCCTGTTGAATCTAATGATTGTTTTTAAATGCACTTACATTTGCATTTTTTTTCATTTGTGCATTTTTATTGCATGTTATGAAAGTATCAGTGTACCACACAGTGGAGGGAAAAAACTGATAGTTTGAGGAGCAGCACTGACCTCCCTGGTGGCGGGGATGGAAGTGAATCCATTGCATAGACGGTGTTTCCCGTGCCAGGAGGGTGATGATTTCTAGTGCGCATGTGCTCTAGAAACAGCTCTTCCCAGCAGGGCTTTGGAGCCCCTGATACTCTCTTCCGCACCTCTCTCAGCCTCGTGGTGTCCCCCTCCCAAGCGAGTCCAGAGCCACCGTGCAGTGCTACTGTCCCTGTAGAATGCCCTGGTCCTTTCTAGAGTATCATCTTGAAGCCATCCCATCCCTTCTCCAGGAGAGGAGAGAGGACTCAGCATTTTAAGATTGGAACCCCCTGAGGAAGGGTGATGGGAAGTGACCCCCGACCCAGTCGCAGCAGGGAGCAGGCACCCAGCGGGTCACAGGAGATGTCCCTGAGCAGAAGGGGATCTGCTTCGTGGGGCTTCTTAGCTGGCTCTGTCTTGCCCATCCCCAGCACCCCAAATTTGCTTGCTGGGAGAGGTGCTGTTAGGTGTTCCAGGCTGCACCAAGGCCTTGGCCCTGGGTTTGCAGGAGATCAGTGTCATCTGTTCAAGTGTGACCACAGTCCCTGTATCTCTCCCCTCTGTCCCCTTCGCAGCTGGCTGCTGACCCAGACCCCAATGTGAAAAGCGGATCCGAGCTCCTAGACCGCCTTTTAAAGGTATTTGTATTTTGTTGCCACTTCTATTTCTAGAATCCGTTTCTCCCATCTGTCTGTACAGCTTAGAAATTCTATCATTAGGGATGCTTTTCCAGATTTTTTTTTTAAGTATCTTAATTTACATACAATAACATTTACTCTTCTGGGTGAAGTTCTTTGACACATGTAGAGAGCTGTGTACCACCACCATAGAAATACAGAACTGTGCCATCACCCTAAACATCCTCTTGTGCTGTTGCCCCCGAGAACAGGGACTGAGAGATCCATCCAGACCCCAGAGAAGATGGTTTTGCCATTGGTTTAATTCTCTTCACTTTGAGTCCTGCTCTCCATCCACCAATTTTGCTTGTCCTCTGGCCTACGCCAGGATGGATACTCCAGGAGCCTCTCCTGCCTGGCTCAGGCTCTGTCATTTTCCTCTGTGGTCACCTGAGCCCTGGAGCCAGCCCTGGGCCAGCCCTGGTCTCTGGCTCTTGGCAGCTCACGCTCCTTTGGCCCTTAGGACATCGTGACTGAGAGCAGCAAGTTTGACCTGGTGGGCTTCATCCCCCTGTTGCGGGAGAGGATCTACTCCAACAACCAGTACGCCCGACAGTTCATCATCTCCTGGGTAAGGTCTGGCCCGACTCTGTCTCTCCAGCCTCTAGTTGAATGAGCCTCTGGTTTAGTAAAATGTGCTCTCTGGAACACCCTTGGCAGTCCCTTCAGTCATAGGATGCC